CTTGTTTTAAAATCACTTACTCTGGTTGTGCAAGCCAGCACAAAGGATAAAGATTATGGAGGAAAATTAAATTCTCTTCATTCCCAGAGCATTGGAGATCTTTTTCATTCTCATCTCCAATACTGAATATGTTGGAGTTTTATTTGCAACCTCGCATGCTGTCAATGGTTTGAGTGACTTGGAGGGACTTTTTCTGAGCTGGGGTGATTGTCCAGCATTAATCAATCATTCCTTCCAGCCTTTGAATTCAAAGAGAGTCTTCCTTCTTTGCTAAGTGTTTTCCCCTCTTTTTAGTTTGTTAGAGAGAGTTGTTTGCTGTTGATCAGTTCCGTTGCTAAGTATGAAAGAAAGCAACATATACACATATGTGATTTCAAGTAACTGTAAGTAATTTTAAAAAATTCTTTCTCCAACAAATATCTCAGAATCTGTTATTGAGACTTTAAGTGCCTATTAATGAGAAAGGAGTGGATTCAGGGAAATGTGCAGCTATTTCACCTCTGTAAGTCTCTTTATTTCCACTATGTATTTATTTATTGAATAAATAAAAAGGAATTTTACCAGAAATTCAAAACTCTGCAACAGAATATTTCAGCAAGCTTTGGCCACATGCTTGCAAGCACATTATAAATCTATAGTACTCTTTAAAAAGGGCAAACCTCTAAGAAAGCTGAATCCTGTGTTCGTACATGCCCTCATAATTGTCTCAGAATTTACTTTTCCATTGTAAAGGTCTGAAGTGAACGCCTTTATATGCCAGTACAGAAGCATGAGTAACTTCCATATAAATGTACACAGAGTTGCATTTTGACAATACTACCCTATGCATGTTTACACAAAGGTAATCCCTCTTACTTCCGGTTATAAATTTAAATATTTTTAAATCAAAAGTAGTATCCTCCTCATTCTCAAAACATATATTTTCAACTTCAAGAAGGAAAGAATTTTTCCTGACTGATGCTTTCTTACATTAATCCATCAAGCTTCCAGTCTGTTCATGTAAACTACAGATTTGTACACAAATCATCACAGCTCACCGTTCACCTTGACAACGATGTATGCCATTTTCCATTACATAAACTGTTCATGCAACAGTGGCCTTCTAAAAAACAGCACCACCCATTGCAACAGACCGCTTCATCCTCAAATCTTTTCTAGGCTAATTGTTCCGCACTGACAAATACTGGATCCACACTGGACACTTCTTTGATTATACTGGAGGAATTTAGTGCATCTTGAAGATTAATTAATTAAAGTGTACCCATCTGTCCACATCACTCTAATCTCAAGAGTTCTTATATGGGTTTAAGAGCCCAAATTCAAAGGAGCCCCTAACAGGTAAACTAAAAGTGATGCAACACAAATGCTTTGATAAATCTGGAGACTCCATAGGGGATGGGTATCTGCTAGAACCTCCTGCAGGGTCTGTATACTGTTTCCTTTCTGGCCTTGGAGAGATGAACAACAGTCCCAAGGTTCTTCATTTCTTGTACTTGCTTCTTCAGATGTTTTCTAGTTTTCTCACTATTGGGAGAAAGAGTTTACCAACATTCTGGGACCTTGGGTTTATCTGAATATGCAGTCTTCTATGATGGTTTTATCTCCCAGGGCTCAAGAGAACTCACTCAGTCAAATAACCAAGCAATCTCTCAATTTAGTTGCTGATTTCTAATCCTTAAATGCTAGGAAAAGGAATTCGCTGACTGGTCTGCCATATCATGGAGTGGCATTTTAAACAGATCTTTGTTTGCCCTTGGTGGCACTTCAGGGTTCTTAAATGTCTTGATGTTCAAACTCCCACATTCACTGGGCAGAATCTGGGAGCTCACCAATTATTCCCTCCAACTCCACCTCAGCTTCCTTGTTCCTTTCTGTTGGATGACATCATTCTGACTTTGGACTTGATTAGTTTAGGGCAGCATTTCAGAGACACCATTATGTGAATTTTAATCTAGCATGGTGAGGAGAAAACGTCTGGCTCGGCCTGCTACCTGCTCTGCAACGTTTCTTCACATAAAAGAGTGTTTATACAGAGGAAGCAGTCAAAATTGATATCCTACACTGGCTATCTGGAGTTGCAGTTGAGCTTCCAAAGTCTTTTCTTTTAAAGACCAGACATCATTAAAAAGACCATTCAAAGCTTATAGAACGATGCTAGAGAATATGCAGTCTAGAAACCGGAGCCCAAAAACACAAAAATCCCATTCACTAACATGGGAAAAATTACTTGGCAAAACATCCTCCCCTATCTTCTGTGCTCCTGAACTACTCTGTGGCAGTATTGTAAATAAAACAGAGGCTGCTTTGGATAAGTCTTTGGACCTCTCCCACCACTTTTATTTCTTATAGTGCACACCAACCCCTGAACTCAAACATTTTAATCTGTCATCAATTTGCTGAGATAGGGTTACCCAGTCCAGTTCTCCAAAGAGAAGACGGCAAGCACCACTCTGCACAAAGCCCCATTCACAGGCTTCAGTTACGCTGTGCCTTTAAAAAACAACAAAACAAAACAAGGGAAGGGAGGGGTAGAAAACACTTACAAGAGAATAAGCTCGCGCTTTTAGGTCATTTCAGGGAGGAAATGGAATGTTACTGATATTTAATTTCTTGCTGCACTTTATGCACCACTGTATCACTTGGCTTGCGTAAGAGCAGTTCCTTTTTACTTACGAACCTTGTGTTAAAAAGATAACCAAACTGTTGACTCTGCAAGTCAATTTTCTTACGTAAGAAAACCAAGTTCAATGGAACTGAAGATTTAAAAAAAAACACCCTAGAATTAAAGATCTGCACTGAGTTATACATTAAACGTTAGATATCTTTCCTTTAATGGCTCACCCAATATTTCAAAAAAGGAGTTCAGCCACTAACTCAATCGACAAGTTCAAAGGTAGCTGCGGTTATTTTTCTCTCTTATCTTTCCTCCCAGCAGCCACATTTTCACAGGTCCCATTTCCACAACATTGAACACTGGGCTCCTTTGCTTAGTTAAGGAAGCCATGGGAAAGGAGGATGAGCCAGACTTACGAGGTCAATGCATGTTCATTCAAAAAAGAATAACAATGAGTATTCCAACAGCAAGATCTGACCTTTTCCAAGACACCAACTGGCCTAAGGAGCTGGCAAGGCACTGCACTTTGTACACTTATATTTCAGCACAGAATCATATAGGATGTGGCACTAGATACAGCTTCCTGAAGATTTCAGCTTTCAGTAGCAGCCTCCCCTACTCAACACACCAAGTGTCTAGCCCTTAATGCAAAATAATATTTCTAGGATTTGGGTGGGCTTTTAATACCATATGCAACTCCTTGTTCCTTGTCACCACGAACTGAAGAAAGACTATGCCTCAGCTATGGAAACTGCTCTCTGTGGAGGCTCATTTAGATTCTCCATGATATTCTGTTCCTGCAAAGCAACAAGTTTTATTCTGGTCAGGCTCTACTCTTCCTCCTTTACGGCTCAGGATGTTTCGTCAACAGTTTTATTCATGTTATGTATCATCAAGTTGGAAGTGATTTACTGTCACCCTAACAGGGTTTTCAAGGTAAGTAAGATATTTAAGGAGTGGATTTACCAGTTTTACCCCACCCTCATGAATTTTGATGGCTGAGCAGGGACTTGAACCCAGTTTGACTGAGTCCTAGTCTAACAGACTATCCATTACACCACACACCAGTGTTCTTATTTCTATCATTTTGACGGCTTCAGTCCATCTGACATGCTCCTCCCATTTATATTGTGAAATATTTTTACTGTTTTTAACGATCTTGAGAAACCTGTATAAAAATGGGGTATGAATTGAAATAATATGTCTTCAGTGTGGAAGGGATTGCCACTCTCGAATCGGCCTCCTCAGCCACACTAGACGCTGTTCCAAGTCCTCCATACAGAGCATGTTACCATAGTATTTCGAGACTGAAGGATGCCTAACATAACAAATAGAATAAACTAGAGGAAAAAAAGAGTTAACTTCTTGATAGCTCAGTGAGTTAGAGGCTGGGAGGTCAATTCCTCGCTGTGCCTGCTGGACTCGTTGATCCATAGGGTCCCTTCCAGCTCTGAAGTCCTAAGATTATGATGACATCTCAATATATCAGACACCCACATTTACACTTCCATACGCGCTGCTTGAAGAATTCAACTTTTCTTTGTATAAAGTCTAAATTGTCTATACAAAAATTGTTAACATCAGTGTCAGCTTCCTTAATACTTCCTTTAATACTGTGCGCTCACTGGGTCATGGGGAAACTGGCCTCCTCTCAGGACTGGATGTTCTACTATGGCAACATCTCCTTCTGCCAGTGGGTCAAACTAGACATTAAGGGGCATAATATTCTCTGCAATTAACACATTTCCACCTCAAAATAGGATCTCAAAAATAATAATAATAATCTTTTTAGAAATGCATGTCTTATCAGACTTGCAAATTAAGCCTGTGTTTACTTTTCCATGGCCAATCAGAAAAAAACATGCTAAATATAAGATATGTAGGTGAAAAAAGATCATGTGAAGTGGAGGCAAACAGATACCTGCACTTGAGGGAGCACCACTTTTGAATATATGCTAAGCATATTTAGTTTTCTGCTCACAGATTTGCATTTTTAACATAATTATTGTTCAAGCTTTCCCATTTCTCCTCCCAGAGTTTTGATAATCATAGAGAAGGTATATTAGAAATCACACCCAAGGTAGGAAAATTCTAAATTATTAATGCAACTCCTCCATAAGAACACCCCAACTTTTTCAGTGCTGACTCTGAGTACATTTTCAGGCTACATGATGGAGTAAAATTCAGGAGATTTAGATACAAGATTTTCCTTATGTTAACTCATGTACTTCCTTTGATTTGAAAAAGAAAGAGCAACATGTGCAGGTGGAATAGCTTTTGATCAACCTAATTTTGCTTATCTTTTTTTCTTTTTTGTCTTATACACAATATATGGGTATTTAAATATGTGAAAGGATCACATTCCAAAGCTTTCCAAGGACCCTACCTGCAAGCAGGTAAACAGAGCTGAAATTCTTCTCCAGTTTTCCCAGCAGGACATTTAGAAAAGAATCAGGGGAGACAGAGGTAACGTTTTTTGAGCTCTGATCGTAAACCACCACATCTTGTTTGCTGTCAATTTCAACCTGGAACAAATAATTGGGGAGAGAATATAAGACACAGTGACACATTTTTTCAGGGTAAGGTTGCAACACTCTGTGCCCTTGGAGAGTTTTCCAAGAGCTGTGGGATTTTTCCAGCGTCCCCCTCTAATAGTGAACCTATTGGTAATGGATGGGGACACCGGACCGCAGACATATTCACAAGGAGAAACGTGCAATACTCGTGCTGGCTCAGAGGACTTGCTGGGGAAAAGCTATACGTTTGTAGCATCCCCTGCCCTCTAAGCACCCAGACCTGTCTTGAAATCAGCTGTTGATCAAACCAGTCATACCAACTGGAGCTGGTGAAAATTAGATCCCAGCAACTGGTTTCAAATGGATTGGGGGAGAGGGAGGGGTCAGAATGCTTCTCCTCTCTTCTCTTCTCTCCTCTCCTGCCCTGCAGGCTCATCCTGGCAGCATTCTGGATTAATCAAAACCATCACTGTTTGCTCTCTCTGAAAGAATAGGCAAGATAGCTCTGTGTAGTTCCTTGTTTATTTCCAACATTCTTATGTATCATCATCTTTTTCATACCGCGTCACTTCCAAACAAGGCTTTTATTTTGCAGCAACCTCTTCCTCGAATATGAAATGTTATTGGGGGGGGGGTTAGGTAGCAGATAGCACAACTTCCACGTGATCAACTTCCTTCCCCCTTATTTTCTTACTACCCCCCATGTATTAAGGAAGGAAATAAAGAATAGCAACACCTTTTTACTGGTAATGCTAGAAGCCTTCTGTCTGGACCAGAGATAGTCTAAAACCTTTTTTGGACTAGAACTCCTATTCTGGCCACTGACCAAAAATGTAAGTCTAAAAATGCAAGTTTTCAAAGCTCCACAAAAGCACTCTGTTATTTTGTTGTATCAACATGGCAAAATTACTGTTGTGGATTATTGGTTTTATCCTCTCTTTCCGCCTTTGGTATTTGTACACTTGCATTTGAAGATACAATAACACTGCAAAAAAGAAAAAGTACATCATTTTCTTCAGATTTCTGAATCACAGAGCATTGTGATGCTTTTTGCCTAGCATTTATGTGGCTCTTTGGGGGGGATGGGACAGAAGCTAACCTTTAAACTATAGAAGCTACTGAAGGCCTTCAAAAGCCCTCATTTACAGGGCAATCCCACACACATTTATTTAGAAGTAAATCTCACTGTTTTAAATAACGTTCACCCCAAGGTAAGTCTGTAGTCTGCAACTTTAAACCACTGTCCACAAAACTGACTGAGGTTTGCAACCCTCTTAGCTCTTAGTCCTGGTTTTTAATTTTGCACAGAAATACATTTATTTAAACAGCAGATGCATAGCAAAATCTACGTAAGAAATGAGGAAAGCAAACTGAATCAATAAAATGGTGTGATGTAGGAATTTACTGGAATAGCAGAAAGAGTGCAAGAGTCGGTCAGACAGATTCAACTCACAGCAGCCAATGGTCCAAAGGTAAAAGTAAAATGTATATGTTGTTGTTCAGAAGAGTTTTTAAAAACACTGTCAAATATTCTAATTTTAGAGTTCCAAACATACAGAATGTATCTTTAAAGATAAGTAAAAGTAAAAGTGCCCCCTGACAAATTCTCCAGTCATGTCTGACTCTAGGGGCAGTACTCATCCCCATTTCCAAGCCGTAGAGCCAGCGTTTGTCCATAGACAGTTTCCGTGGTCATGTGGCCAATGTGACTAGACACGGAACGCCATTACCTACTTTACTGCTTTCAAACTGCTAGGTTGGCAGGAACTGGCACAAGCGACGGGAGCTCACTCCGTCACGAGGATTCGAACTGCTGATATTTCGACCTTGCAGCCCAAAGGCTTTGGGGTTTAACCCACAGTGCCACCACGTCCCACTTCTTTAAAGATAGTAGCTATCTATTTATAGTATCTGCACGTTATAAATGAAAAAGGCATAATTATAAAGTGTTATTCATTTTTGCAAAATTAAAAGTCAAAAATACCATATTTGCAATTAAAGGGTGTTGTTTTTTTTAAATGACAGCCACAATTGTAATGCCTGTCTTCTGTCATTTGTTGGTAAGTATGTTTGATGATACAACTAGTGAAGTAACGCATCTGGAACTAGTACACACGAAATACTCCTGATTTCTTAACCACAGCTGAGAAAATTGCAACTGGGCTGCAAGAACATGTACTCTATCTGGTACCAACTTCTTCCATCAGTGTTAGCTACAGTTAAAAGGTCATCCAGAAAGTTTCAAGACTGAGTGAGGACTAGAATCCAGAACTCCCAAGTCACAGTGGAAAGGAAGAACTACCCGCCTCTTAAAATGGATGGAACACCAGGAAAGCTAGTCCCTAGTCATGCAAAGAACTGAGTTACTTGGAAGGCATTTACTAGGCTATCGAGCTGAGTTTGCAGAACCAAGGCAAACCAAAGAAAATGAGGGTTTGTGCCAACACAATTGTCTGCAAGTGCAGGGAAGAGCAGGCAACTTCACACCCACGTCAGTTTATGCCCTTAATCATGTACCATGGAAGACAAGATGGTAACTGCCTGAAAAGCTCTTGATGTTGCCTGTTACAAGGGTGGTGGAGGAATTATCTGATATATTTATTAATTGCACTGTGGTGCTTCTGACACAAACTAAGAAAGAATCATCCTAACTGCTACCTCATACTGGCTCTATATCACTTGCAGTATAACTTTATTTCTGAAAACAAGAAACAATTCATGCCAAAGTATTGTAGTTTTTCCAGCTAACAAAACATCAAACTACCGCCTTATCCTCAACTACTCTCATGTTTCGATGATATCATCCCAGAATATTCATTATTAAAAGCAAACAACTGTGAGCAATAACCTTTATGAAAGTCAGTTGCAAACACACCCCTAACAAGGGTTAAGAGTGGGATCAAGAGATCTCCTTCAGAAAGCTAAAGGTACACCTGGTTCAGTGACTAATCATAATGAATGAGCCTGGAGTGTTTTATGTGTACTTTGGCTGCTGATCTTTTATGACCTCGAAATCTCTGCTCTGTGTAGCATGGCACTGTCTGAAAAAAAAGAGAGCTCCTGCCAGCACCTCCCAACACTTTACCTTGTGCTTTGCAGAATGCTGAATGAGCTCAGTGATCAACACTTTATCCTGCTGCAGCCTCCGCTTCATGAGCTTGGAGCAGTTGATGTTGATGGCCTCCAAGATGTGCGACGTATTGTATTCCACAAAGGGGCGACTGTCAATCAGCAGCAATTTTTCTGTGCCACTTTCAAGCAAAGCCACCAGCCGTTCGCTGACAATGAGCCGAGTACCATTCATCTCCTCAGCCATGACAACAACAGAGGCCCTTCTTGAGCCACTGCCTTCCTCTCCAATTTGCAGCAATGATGAAGAAGATGATGTAATGGCTCTGCACTTAAAGGCTTAACCATTCCGTTGTACTCAAAGTGTATGAGGTCATACTGGTGGTGACTGGCAAGCAAAAAGTTAGACCCATTTTTCTCTTGAGAGGGTCCTCCAGAGATGAATGCCTTCTCTGCTTCACAGTCAATGTGTGCTGGTTGTACAGGACTTTTTCTACAAAGCAGCCCCTCACACCCAATTCATCCTGGGCTATAGAGTGGCCATTTCACAATTCAAACAAAAGATGCTTTTCGGCTGGTCCTGCCATTACATCATTCTTCACCTTTGTTCCCCCATCACCAGCTTTAGAGCGGACTAGGAGCCTGTTGGGATATTGGAAGAGGCTGCAAGAGGCAGAAAGAAAGAAAATGAAAAACAAACAAGACAGACTGAGAGTTTGCAAACTATAATCCCATCCTGCCTTTAATTCTCCATATTGTCACAATACAGATTTCACATGCTATGCATTGTGCCCCCTTATGAATAAATACATCATTAATTCCCTCACTCCGTCCATTTCCCTGCTATAAGAGGCAAATTAGATATTCGATGGGGACCTAGAACCAAGAACCTTCAAACAATAACAACAGAAATTACTGGTAGTTGTCAAGGAGAAGGTGCAATTTGGAAGTGGGGAGAAAAATGACAAACTTCAATAAAAACAGTAAACAATGAGATATGTATTCTACTGACTTTTGGGATACTAAGCCTTCCTGATCAGCAAATCCTTATATGTTATCATGACGTATCTCTTGCCAGAGTTAGGCCAGTTTACATGCCAGACGCTTTTCAGCATCCCTAAAATGCAGCAGCTGGAAGTTAGGAAATGGATCACAGCAACTGTGGATTCAGATCCCTGCTCAGTCACGTTACTGCTCACTGAGTGACTTTGAGAATCATTACCGCTGGGTCCAACCTACATCGCAGCCTAGTTATTATACTACCTCAGATCCTTGGAACACCTCCCCACCTGGTATTTCCCATAACTCTATCACACTCTGGTATAACCAAGGAACTGAAATCAGAATAAACCCTGCAGATGAACAAGTAAGGCCAAACAGAGATGGGCAGGCTATATTCCTAAGGGTCCCTAGGCCAAGGAGAAGATTGAGGTCCAGCCCCCAAGGCATCCCCCCCCCCAAAAATTCCTTTGCTTTGTCATACATTGGATAAAGCTTGCCATTCATTCCTATTAAGGGGTAGTAGTGTGCTGTATCTGGACATCTTTGCAATCAAGGCAAATATACCTCTCTTTAATAACGGATGGCCCAACTTCTACTGACAGGATTTTGAAGGAAAGGGCAATGTGCCCCTATGCATAAAAGGGGCCAAGATTTCCTGCTCACTCCAGAGTTCTTTGCAGTAGACCAGCCTCTCCTCTGCAATATCATAAAGATGGACATTTTACCAGTAAGAGAAGCATCAGAAATACTGCAAAGAGCTTTCAAAATAATCCTCTTTAAATAAACAAAACATGGAGACTAATCCAAAGATCATGGACGGAGATTTCATTCACATTTCATACACTGCTGTCTAGGACAGATTAAACTGCCACATTCAAAGATTCATTAAGCTCTAATTACCACCCTGAAACCCTAATAGAAGCAGCTCTGTTGGCTTCAATGAGCAGAAGATTTGACCCATTTATGAGACAACCAGACTGCCTGCTTTGATGTAGATAAAGAACTGTAGTTTTCACCTGGCCAGTAGAAGCAGAAAAGGGCAGGGAAGTTGGGAGTAATTTAGCAAACTTTCAAAAAAGATGTTAGTTTTTTAAAATGATTTGGAAACATCTAAACAAGCATATAAAAACAAGACACTCTTCTGATTGTCATTTGCTCATAATACTGTAAAAGTTTTCTAGCTGACATTTGTTTACAACAGCGTGGGAGGCTGATTTTTTTTTAATTTCTAAAAAGAGAGGTACCATCGTTTTAATTTGTATGGGTGACACACAAACATACCCATTATGTAAACCCTGCTACTTACTTTAAAATGTTGTCTTGTTAAGAATTCTGAATGGCATTAAACACAACACAGTGTGCACACATGAATTAGATAATATTTACTTATTATCTGATTGCTATTTTAGATGCACTTAAATATTAGTGATTTATTTGACCTTGGATGACATTGGCTCGCCACTGTCAATTAGGCCACATTGCTGGGCTCCCAGTTTGCCCCTATTCAGTTTCACACAGCCATGCACAGAAGCATCCCCATTTTCTTCTGTGAATGGTCAGGGGTTGTCCATATTCTAGTTTTCTGCATTGCACAATGACTTGTCTTCGTCAAACAGACAGATGCAGAATCAGTCCTCTGGACTGGGAGTCTGAATACCACAATCAGGAAACATTCGACAATATGATCCCCCAAGTCTAATCTCAAACAGGAATTGTATGGCTACGTGATATGCTATTCATGCACACCAGCCAAAGTCTGAAAGCCTTTACATTAGAATTACATTTCTGAACATTAGTCTTGGACTATCACCTCGCAGTTCCAAAAATACCACTTCAGAACCATTCTATAATTACCTTTATTTGTGCTTAAATCTGTATCTGTATAGAAACCATGTTATTTCATTTTAATATCAAAGCCTTTTTCAATATTTATTAGAGCTGCTAGCCTCCACTGCTCTGTCTGAGGTCATGAGAAACAGGATGGCACACTGCTGCTAATTCACAGCATCACTCACACATTGTTTCTTTTCTTTTCTTCAGCTTCAATCTTTCTGCACACTGAGGCAATTAATTATGTTTAGGTGCAATCACCTCCCTCTATTTGTTCAGTTTCCAATACTGTTAGCAAATAAAAGTTTTCCTAACTTCTGCCAACAGCAGATGCCATAAGCAAACTTTTATTTATTTAAAACTGAATCCTGTTTTCAAGGCGGTGGCAGCCACACTATTTTTAAAAGTTCAGAGTTCACTAGTCTAAACTCAATCTCTACATAAAAAGGAAATCCAGACTTCCATCATTCCGGATACTTCTGTACTACTAGTGCCAGCAGCCAGCTCATGTTTAATCAAGCAACATGTTTGTGCATTGAACGTAATGTATTGAACAAACAAACACACACAGATCTCCCTTCACCTACACTCAAGGGCTTTGTGAAGCAATTCCAGGAGTGGTCAACAGTGCCCTAACCACCAACAAAACAAACAGTAACCACAACAGCATAAAATAAAATAAAATTGCAAAATAGCCCCCAGATGTACACTTCTGACACACTAAAATCTTTTGGCTATGAATCCTCTGAGGCAAGTATTACCTGGGAGATTGATTATGGAAGCAAAATCAGGGAATCTCAGGAGTATCCTGTTGATAAATCCTGCCCTTTTCTTTGAAGACCTATCAAAGACTTAGTAGAATTGTTAACATTCACACTTTGGAAGGAGAGGAACTCAAAAGTCCAGTGAAACCATGTGCTGGCCCATGTACACAACTACTTCAGTGCTTGGAATGAATCCCAGTTCACTTCCAGGTGGACTTCCTTGGTTGTTGATGATTTTAAGCCCTATTCAGAACAGGCCCATGCAAGCTGTGAACAAGATAGTCTGTCAACAGACTTTCCTCCTGAATTAAACAGATTTTGGGGGCAGATTTTTTGCGGAGCACAGTTGAAGGGGAAGGGTTAATTCCTCATCATGGCTACTTCAAAACAGCATTTTAAGTTAACATTTCATGTAAGATATTATTAAAATATGCCAGAAAGAGGAAATGATTAATCTTTTGCAAGCCCCTCCTCAAAGTGTTCTGTTCCTCCAAGAATGCAGGTGAAAAATGGAAAAGAATCACCAAACTCTCCCAATTTCTTCTAGAAATTAAAAAAAATCAGTCAGCTCCATGAATTCAGCAATAATGATAATCAGTAATGACATCACAGATGGTTTTACTGTTGCAAGAAATGACTCTTAATTGTGTGAAAGGTGGGGAAGTAAATCCTCCTGCAGCTTGTCTTGGCATGCAAGATGGAAGAACCACAAAGTCATTATTCTCACTGCATGAGAGGGTAAGAATACTGTGTGGCATTCTCAACAAGCACAAATAATTTTAAAAAGTCAATGTTATAAATTGCACTTACAACTGAGAATAGGAACAAGATGTATAGTAGTATGCAAGTACATACTACATATATAGAACAAGTATTTGATAAAGAGTAAGTTGTATAACCTTAAGAAAATGGCATGAAAGAGAACCCCAGGAGGCCTTTCACTTTAACCCTCCTGTGCTTAAAATTTATGAGTACTGTCTGTACTTTGAAAAGGGAGCCATGCCTCATACTTACATACTTCCTCTCTTATCCTCTGTTGCTTCCTTCCCTTTCAGATTATGCTGAAGGATCCTGCCTAGGCTAGATTCAAATGCAGGAAATGACCATAAATTCACCTAAAAATGGGATTTCCCTGTCCAGATATTCACTGCTGAAGTGGGGATTGAGAGAGGGAAAGGCTCCTTGTCCTATTGACAAGGAGAAAAACTCCAACACTCCCTCAGAACTAGGAGGACATCTAGAATATTGGGTGTTCCATTTCTGAAACATTCATGAAGCGGATTTCTCCCTCTCACCGTTACTTAATTACTATTATCCTTATTTAATTACTATTTTCCTGCATCATCAAAATTGTACTCAGTAACATCAGCAGCTCCTTCATGGATTGCTCCCTTGTCGTGGCGAAGGGGCTTGAGTAACTCAGAGAAGCTATGGGCTATGCCGTGCAGGGACACCCAAGACGGACAGGACATAGTGGAGAGTTCCGACTAAACGCAATCCACCTGGAGTAGGAAATGGCAAGCCACTCCAGTATCTTTGCCAAGAACGCCCCATGATCAGAAACAAAAGGCTAAAAGATATGACGCTGGAAGATGGGCCCCTCAGGTCGGAAGGCGTCCAACATGCTACTGAGGAAGAGTGGAGGACAAGTACAAGTAGCTCCAGAGCTAATGAAGTGGTTGGGCCAAAGCCGAAAGGACGCTCAGCTGTGGACGTGCCTGGAAGTGAAAGGAAAATCCAATGCTGCAAAGAAAAATACTGCATAGGAACCTGGAATGTAAGATCTATGAACATTGGGAAGCTGGAGGTGGTCAAACAGGAGATGGCAAGAATAAACATCGACATCCTGGGCATCAGTGAACTAAAATGGACAGGAATGGGCGAATTCACCATCCTCTAGAAAAATGCCCCACCCCAGCCATATTCTATAAGAAGAAAAAGAATCAGGAATCCCTCTCTCTCTCATTGTCTTTTTAGGGTAGAAGGGGAAGGGTTAAGATATCCATTTCCTGGCAGGGACAAGAGGGCACAATATTCCAAAGAGTAGCTGGGATCTCTGCCTCCCCA